ACGTCGACAAGGTCGCCTCTGCTGAGTGGAGCACCAGTGGATCCAGTCATCATCCTACTGTGTTTCCAGCAAAGTGACTGAAGGTCTTATTGCTGAGGGGTGGGAACTAAGAGTGGGGTTGGCTGCCTTAGGACTAAGTAAATCTTGGGGGACATTTTCCTACTGACTTGGGGGATTTGTTGAGGTGGCTACTGCAAGGCAAATTACCCACAGGCTAAATATATGTGAGGAGGGAGAAAGGCTTCCCAAAGCGCCTGCCACCTGGCGATCAACTTCCATTTTGTTTGAGAATAGGAGGGAGGCCCCGGCACAGGTACACACACCCCTTCCTGCACCTAGCAAGGAGGATATCGTCTCTCCTCAGCCCAGCATCAGCCCCATGTCCCTCTAGCACCTGCTTCTCACTCCTCTTTGGCCCAGGCAGTAGTGTGGCCAGGAAAGAGCAGAGTGGAAGGGGCGAGGCCGGTGGCAACTGTGGCGGAATCCAGGCTGCACTGGCAGCACCACCCCCGGACCATCTGGTGCCCCTGCCCTTGCAGGGAAGGAGTGGGATGCAGGCAGAAGAGGAAAGGCGCAGAGCCATCGCATCGTCTCCCTTTTTCTCCACGCCACCCACCCTGCTGAACTGCCTTGGTCTGAGCCTTGCCGCTGGGGAGCAGGGAGAAGCGCACTAGGTTAAGGACTTAGCTTGCTCTTAGCAAATCTTAGAGCAGGTGAGGGAAGACCACACTCACTCTCTGTAGTCTTTTTCGAGAAGTGTGTAAACGATTCTGACTAAAGCAAGGAAGGTGGGCTGCAGCGGGATGCCCGGACCTGGAGGGGATATATAGTGGCAGCCCTGCCATTCCCTGCCTAGGCACAGCCTCACTTCAGATGGTGCCCTGGGAGGACTCAAGGATCTGACTTAAGGAGTCAGCCTTCCCCCTGCACAGCATGTCGAACAACTTTGTCGTTTCCTGGTAAGTGCAGATTCAAACTGAAGGAGTTCCAGGTCAGGATGTGCTGCTGGACTACTCTCCACTCAGCTATGGTCATGCCTTGTCTCCTACCACCAGCTAGCAGAACAGAAGCCTGATGAGCGTAACAGGGGCCTCCTACCCACTTGACCTAGGGGCAGGTCCAAAGAAAAGCCACTGAAGACTAGAGTGGAAGCCAGCTGAGCTGTGCAGGCATGGGGCATCAGCAAAGCACTGAGACCAATCTCTGAACTCCTGTTTCTCTTCTAGGAACAGGAAAGTTTGTCCAAGAAGCCACATCCAGAGAGAGGAAAGGAGACCACCTTCTTGCCTTCATCCCATCATTGGGCACTAAATGGACTTAAATGTCAATGGCCAGACCCACCACACCTGGCAAAGTATCCTCACAGGGAGAGGGTCTCTTCCACATGGTAGGAAACACCTGGACCCATGGGGAAACTCTCAGGGTTTTACTCCAGTTTAAAATATGTTCAGTAATTCATTTGCTGTGAGTGCAGGAATGGCTAAGTCCAGGAAGTAAAAGCTTCTACTGAGAAGAGTGGCTGGACAGTCCTAACTGTGCCATAACAGCAAAACCAGACTGGGAATGAGGAAGGTGAGGCTGGGAGTCCCCAGTGCGAAAACTGGAGATCTTGTCTCTGGTTTGGGGTTTGTCGCCCTAGAATGATTCAGAAGAAGTCAAGACTTTTCAAAATTCTCTAACCTCTCCTGTGCAAACAAAGAGTGTTCCTTCCCCCATTCTCCATGTCGCCTCTTTGGTCTCAGTTAGTAGAAACCCAGAAAAGTGCATGGCACGAGAAGCTTGGGCCTTGGCCTACCAGCCAGAAAAAGCCGTGATTCCAGATCTCAGATACTGCATGTGTCAGAAGAGACTAGACTATTCTACCTGTGGGTGATTCTTATTGCTAGGCTGCTTTCTGCTCTGCAGGAACCAGCTAAAGTCATCTGACACTGAGAGACAGGAGGTGGTCCTGGTGACCACCAGCCCAGCAGGGCTAAGGTTTTGCTCTCCTCTCTGCTCATTTGTTCTCAGGTAGCCTTTGACGCAACAAGTCTGTCACAACCTAATCGAGTTTGTAACTTGAGTTAAAAACGTCAGCTCGGGGAGCTCTGGTGGCCTAGTGGTAAGGAGCTGCAACTAAAATCCCAGAGGCGCACGGTTCAAATCCACCAGATGCTCTGCTGGGGAAGGAGGGACAATCTCCTCCTGTACCAGTCAGATCTGATTTGACGGTACACTCACACAAAAAAAATAAAATAAAAATAAAAAAAACAAAACAAAACGTCAGCTAGTGATTTTCCACTTGTGACACACACAACAAGGTCCCATTTCCTATGGTCACAATTCTAAAGACCTAAGAAGAGCTTTATCAATCATCTCATCAGGCCCTGGAACCCTCTTAGTTCGGCCTTCTCCCGTCCTTGCTGTACTCCTCCCTCTAGTCTAGTGGGAGGCTGAGAAGCAATGTAATCTGCTGACAGGCGCCCAGGAGGTCTTAGTGACTGGACACAGGAGCCCAGGGCTCACCAGTATTATCACACTGGCAGTTTCAGGTACTCCCCGAGACATTCCATCCAGGATGTTCCCCAGAGGCCAATGTCTGTACCACATCTGTTCTGGGACTGGCGGCATCCCCACTCTCACCCATTCTAGGTAGGCTACTCCTGGGAAGTGAGAAGCCAAAAAAGGAAGTGAGTGCCTGAGTTCAATTTTCTGGGAGAGGTTACTCTTCCAGAATCCTGTCACTCACACACTTTTGCTTTTAGTGTCAGCCTCTTACACATGCCTAGAGTGTTAAGCCAGGCAGAAGCTCAGTCTGGAAACTAAGGCAAGCTTAGAAACCCCCTTTTGAAGTCAAGTAGGAGCATGTTTACTGAGAGGTGGTCAAGGAGGATGTGGTCTGATCAGGTAGGTGCTTGACAAAACCTGTGTTTCCTTAGCACCTGGAAATATGCACAGGGAGGCAAATCTTCTCTTGGTATAATCACAAAGGACAACTTCTCAAGCTTGAAAAGGAAGCTTTTCCATACCCTCAAGTAATGTACCAAGGATTGTTTGTCTTTGATAGGAAAACCACTGAAAGAAAAGGTTCAATCTGGAGGCTCTAGCACAAAGGGCATCCACTGGATGAGGATCTGGAGAATAGGCTAAGCTGGCATTTCCCAAACTGGGTGGCTCCTAAAGTGATCTGTGAATGCGAGTCCTGAAAAACTCTTGGCTACAGCCATTTCTTAGAGTTCTGTATGTTAAAGACCCTGAGAAGGCTCACAAAAATAAACCATTTAATTTGTTCAGCTCAGTATTTTCCTAAAGTACTTGGCTGAAAGACCTGCTCTCTTCACCAAACACTGTGAATCTGCAGTAAGTTTGGGGCCCTCCTTTCCTCCTGGCCCTGAGCCTTAGCTTCCTCTCAACACAATGAGGCAGATGGACCGAGTGTCTCCAAGGCCCTCCCACTCTGCTGTTCTTCTAGGCACAGCCAAAATGGCTCTCTTCCCACCTCACTGAAGGGCTTGGGCTTGGGCGAGGCTGGAGGCAGAGCCTGCAGTGTGGCAAGGACCAGATGCTCGCCAAGAGATGATGCTACCCTGTGTGACTTCCCTTTGCCCTTCGCCCACCCAATCCTGAGCTCTCCAGATCCTGCAGTTTGAAGAAGCATCTCAGAGATGCTGGAGCGGAGAAATGGTGGGACTAACCACAAGACAGGGCCAGCATCCCACAGCAGCATGGACGTCCTGCTGAGCCTTCCTGGTCCAGTGAAGCCCAGTGCTTCTGACTTCTCACTGGCAGAAACACACAGGTGAGCTTCCCTGGCCTCACCACACTTTCCTTCTAAGTACTGAACAACAAACACCTAACTGATCAGTGTAGGGATGGGCCTGTTTCTAATCACAGATGCAATCATCACAAGCCTGCACGCCTCCTCAGAAAGCCCCCACATTCCAGGAGCAACTCCAAAGCACTGAGTCATCTCCCCACACCAACAGCTCCTTCCTCGGAATCTAACACTTACCTCTTGCAAATCACACATCCCACACCCACAGCACACCTCATGTCACAAATAGACCCCGACCTGCGAATAATTATTCTCACTCTCCCCCACCCCCGTGGTCCATGCAACTCCTGCTGTCGTGGATCACTGAGGTGGCTGTGCTGTCACAGGAGTCGGCCCCCTCCGTCCTGCCTGAGGGCAGAGTCCTGGGGATGGGAGGAAAGGGAGGAAGGTGAAAGATCCAGTGACTTCTATGGATCAACCCTGAAGAGAGATAGGAAGTCAGCAAACCTTGCTCAGTTTACGTTAATGGCAGCTGATGTGCTCAGACTTGGAGATCCCAGGGTTTAGGTCACCAAAGAGAGCTTCCAGGGGCTCGGCTAAGTGTCCCACAGCAACACAAAGCATCCTAACAAATCCAGGATGGGGCTATTACTCAGGTTCCATGGGCACAAGGGAGGCCAGTCTTCTGGACATAGCTCTACAGTGGTCTGTTGGTGAATGCAGAGCACTGCCAGCCTAGGTGAATGCTTTTCTTGGCCCTGGCCCAGGCCTCTACCTTAAGGCCATCTCTCTGGGGATGGACTGCTCTGTTTCCTCATGCAAACAGGAAATAAGGGCAAAATATCTTCCCATAGCCCTGCTGGAAGGAAATGTGTTTCTTCCCCCTTAAATCTTGTTTTCTTCATCAGCATCCCTCTCTAACAGCCCACAGTTGGGGACAGTGGTGGGCCTAGGTCATTCCAGCTGCTCATGGCTCTCTTTCTCATGGAAAAGTGGCTCATATTATTGCCTCTGGCCCGGTACAAAGCCATTTATCCCAAGCTGAACTTAGACCAAGTGAAAAAGCATCATCTAGTTGCTTTCTGGGGTCAGGCTTTGTCCTCTACTGTCCACAACTTGGAGCTGGTGACCAAGGAAAATGACCAGGAAAGTACAGAGTTGGTGGAAAAGGCGAAGGGTACCAGGAGATATGTGGTGGGATGGTGGGGCGGTTGGGGAGGTGGGGAGCGGCGCAGAGGGTGGTTACCTGGGTGAGGTGAGGATTGGGGTTGAACCCGCACTGGTTGCAGACCTTGTTGTGACACTGGGTGCAGGTGTTGAAGTTTGGCTGGCTGGGAGTCGACGTGAGGTCCGAGGTCTTGCATATGGGACACAGGGTGCTGCTAGGAAGGGGGGCGATCTGGGGGACGGAGTAGGGTGATGTGGGGGTGCTGCCTCTGTCCGGTGACACTGATGGGGACCGCCCTGATCTCTGTGTCCTGCTGTCTACCTGCAGCGTCCTGCGGGGGCCATCAGCCTCCTGGCCTGCTGGGCCCTGTGCCCTCATCTCCCGAGGGCTCCCATGGCCAGGAGCAGTAGCAGGAGCCTGCTTCGGGGATGGAGAAGCTGCTCTCTGGCTACCCGGGGGCTCCTTGGGGTCCAGTCTCCCGGAAACGCTGAAATGACATTGAAAAATGACTGTGCGTTAGAGATACACCTTAGAGAAAGAGGCTCCTCATTCCCAGAGGTACCACTGTACCAACCATTTGCTGAGCCTTGACAAGTGTCTCTCACGCGAAGCCCTGGCACTAGGCCACTTGGCAGAACTATGAGTGCCCCTTTCCATATCTTGAGAAAATGCAGGTTCTGAGTTAGTAAATACAAGATTGTGTATTTGTAAGAAGTTTCCAGATGATGCCTCTACTGTAGACCATGAAGTTCATGTTGAGCAGCAAGGCTTTAAAGTTACACATTCAAAACATCTCATTTGCTTGCTCACTCCCTACTGTTAAATCAGAACTGACTTGTAGCTGATCCTCCACAGGGCTTTTGGAGGCTGACAATCACATGGGAGGAGACTGGCCATCTTTCTCCTGCTGAGCTGCTGGCGAATTAGAAATCATCAGAGGTGCCTGTCCCCTTTGGGCTTGCAGCACAACTACCTGTCAACTACGCCACCAGAGTCCTTCCAGAAACACCTAGGACGAGCTCTGGTGGCCCACTGGTAAGAAGCTTCATTGCAATCCCAATGGTATGTGGTTCAGATCCACCAGCTGTTCTGCGAGAGAAAGGATGGGCAAGCTCTTCCCATGTGATTTACTGCCTCTGAAAACCTGCTGGAGGGTCAGCTATGGGTTGGTTCCAACTCAAGGGCACACAACAACAGGTGATCTTAAAAATGGTGATGCCCAGATCATACCCTAGGTAAACTACATCAGAATCTGAGAAGGTGGAACTTGGCATCAGTACTTTTTTCTCCTCGATTGAGGCCAACATGCAGGTCAAGTTCAGAACCAATGTCCAGGAAGGTCTGTTCCAAATCTAATTCGTCCTTCTCATAGGCTGACCCAAAAAAGTTGGGACTGGGGTACATCACAATGCCTAGTTAATGCTGTCCCCAAGAGGGGGCCTACTAAGGCACAACCTGATGGCTCAGAGAAAACACATTAAGATGTGATAAACTGCTAGCTACTTTCCTGCTAACACAAGAGCCCTGAGACGCAGCACTTGAGGAGCCACCAAGAGTTTAGCGTGCTTCATCTACCTCCACCCAACCTGGCAGGGCTGCAAAGGAGCCAGCCGAGCTGGATAGCCTGATGCGGCAGATGGCACATCGTCAGGCTGAAACCCAATTCCCTTACATTCTTTCTCTTCTTAGTTCAATTCTGCCAGTTTTCCTTTTTTTAAGTTAAGGAAGGCTGAACACAACATACCAGAGACACTGTCTTAGTGTTTCCCTGTACTTGTTTGGGTGCATGCTGCCAGCCAGGAGACAGGACATCCTGGTTAGCTCCACTGCTGAGGCCCAGTGCAGCTGCCTAGGGAATGGCCTACCCTGGACCCTTCTGCCCTGTTCCCAGTAGGGTCTGAAAGAAGGAGATTTGAAGTTTGCTGTCCTCAGACATACAGGAGCCAGCTGGTAAGGCATCTTAAGACAAGCCGAGTCAGAAGAGAGTCCAGGAGCCCATGTCAGGAGGCCCAGCCTTTTTTCTGAGGGTGTGTCAGCCCCACAGCAAAGCCAGACCAGGAACACTGTCTATCTTTGCCAACAGCTGTGAGATCAGCAAGGTGATGACCACAGCCTCTCCAATCTTCATGACATTACAGTAGCACCCTCTTCAGGGCTGTGTGATAATCTAGTTTCTTCTAAGAAATTTAGTAGTTTTCACTATTTGTGTTGCCTAGTATGGGACAGGCAATCTTCTGTGTATACAGTAATTTTTTAAAATTCAATGTTTCATTAGAATGTTTTATGGAAAACATTTTATGTGACAATTAGAGATCCAAATTTGTTCTTTCAACCCAGTGGGGATAATGAGTGGGCATATAAAGCTTCTTGCGCCTGGTAGAAACTGCTTTGTACATGCAGGTCTGATTTGTCTATGTCCACATACGATACAGTGATGACACAGTGGCACTTGGGGATTCCACTACCTGTCCACGTGCCCTCACTCTCCTATCCTCCTGTGTGTTCCTCATACCTTTCCCTTGGTCCCCATGTGTGACAAGGTTAGTTTGTTTCTTCCTAAAGACAAATCAAGGCTTACTCCTGGTACCTGTGAATGTGAACCTTATTTGGAAATAGATGTAGATACAGATGTAATTAGTTAATATGAGGTTAAACTATAATAAGATGACTCTTAATCCGGTATCACTTGTGCCATTATAAAAATAAAAAACAGAGACAAAGGGAGGATGGCTGTAAGCTAAGGACTCCTGAGACCACCAGAAGTCAGAAGAGGATGCCTCATCCAGAGCTGCCAAGGGAACATGGCCCTGTTAACACCATGATTCAGACTTCTAGCTTCCAGAACTATGAAAGAACAAATGTCTGTTGTCTTACACCACCAGTTCATGGTACTTCATTATGACAGCATAGGAAACTAACATATCAAGCCTTTAATATCTCCCTCTCTCTCTTCTCTTCACTGATAACAGGCTTGCCCTCTCATTGACAAAGCAGGAACTCACAGGTCCTTAGGTACCCACAGCCTCCTGATTTCTGTCTCTTAATGTCTGCCTGTCTCCTGTTCTCAAGGCCCATTTCTCACCTTGATAAATTCTCTCTCCTTATTTGAGCATATATTTACTTCCCTATCGGTTCATGTCAATTACCATACAAACATGCTTTACCTCATCTCAGAAGGAGAAAAGAAACATGCTTGACTTCCTTCAGTTTCAGCTCGATTTCCCTCCTCTTTTTTACAGCAGAACAAGTTAAACGGGTTATACTTCACTCATTGTTTCTCACTCCTCTCCTCCCTCTCTCTCAGTGGGAGAGGAGATGCTAGGCTTTTGTTCATCATTCCACTGAAATTGTTCAAGACAGGGCTGTTGTTGTTGGTATGTGCCGTCGAGTTGCCGGTGACTCATAGTGACCCTATGTACAAGAGCGCTAACCCCTGCTCTATCCTGTGCCAACCTTATTGTCTCTGATACACCTACTCCCATTATCCCAATCACTGAACTGATCCATCTCATTGAGAGTTTTTCTCTCTTGCGCTGTCTCTCCTCCCTCCAAACATGATGTCCCTTTCCAAGGACTGGTCCCTCCTTGCAACATGTCCAAAGTATGTCAGAGGAAGCCTCAGAATCCTTGCCTCCAAGGAACAGCCTGGTTTCACCCTCTCTAGGACAAACCTGTTTGTTCTCCTAGCAGTCCATGGTATATTCAGTACTCTTCTCTAGCACCACAGCTCAAAGGCATCAATTCTCCTTCTATCATCCCTAGTCATTGTCCAGCTTTCTGACACATTGCAAAGATGGCCCGGATCTTAGTCTCCAGACTGATATGGTTACATATTGTCAAATCCAATAGTCCTTTCTCAGTTTTCACCTCATTTGACCATTAAACTCTATCTCATTGCCTTCTAGTCAGAACTGACCCTCCAGTGGGTCTCTGTAAACCACACGGAGGAGACTGCCTATCTTTCCAATGCGGAGCAGCTGGTGAATCTGAGCCGCCTGCCTTTGGGCTGGCAGTGCAACTCCTCACCCACTGGGTCACCAGTGTTCCCTGCTTGACCATCAGTACCACACCATGCCATGGAATACTCTCTCCTTTGTGAAACAAGTCCTCCATTTTCACCACTTCTGGGAGCCAAACTCGTTCTCCCACCTGGTCACATTTTTCTAATCTCCCTTATAGGTTCTTCCTCATCTCCCAACCCCAAAGCCCTACCTCTTACATTGTAGGACCCAGGGCTCAGCCTCTGTGTCAGTTAACTTTTCTGAGTCTACTCAATCCCTGAGTCTCAGGTTCTCAATTCCATCTTCCACTGACAACTACTAAAGGGTGTCCCTGACTCAGCTCCTTCCCCTGAACTCCTGACTTGTTTTAACTGCCAACTCCACGTCTTCACTACGATGCCATATAGACATCTCAAATAAAACCTGTCCCCTGATCTTCCTTCAAACATGCTCCTCAAATGATCTACCCTTACAAGTCATCCTATGCCAGTCCAATAGCAAACTCTGTAGGCTTCAGAGTCTAGACATTCCATTTTCCAATTTTTTTTTTTTTAGTCTGAACACTCCTACTGCTTCCTCATCCAATCTGGTTCAAGCCACTGTCACTTCTGCTTCCACCCTTGCCTGTCTATGGTCTTCTCGCTACACAAGATTTGGATAATCCTTTAAATGCATGAGTCAGACTACATCACACCTCAACTTAAGTTTTCCAACAGCCTCCTCTTCTTCCCAAAGAAAAGCCAAAGGCCATACAATGAAACAATGAATGGCCCACAAGGTACCATGGCATTGGCTTCTTTTCCTCTCAGTTATTCTCTCCCTCCTTCACCCCACTTCCTTATGCCAGGGCCACTGGTGCCTCTGGGTATTTGTATTTGCTGTTCCTTGTGCTGGCACATGCTCCCCACTCCCTCGTGGCATCGTCTCAAGTATGCTTTCTCTGACCATCCGATTTAAGACTACAGCCTCTGTCCTCCTGCCTTTCTTCTTCACAGCTCTGCACACCTTCTGCTCACTGTATGGATTGTTTTTAGGTACCATCTGCGATCCCTGCATTGGACTGTCGGCGATTTGAGAGAATGGCTTCAGTGTGCTTTGTTGGTGACTGCATCCTAGCATTTAGCACAGTGTGTGGCTCACAGTCATGATATGTTTTCTGAACATTGTGACTCAGAAGCAGTAAAATGTAGCCTGCAAGTGTTTTAGAGCTGAAGAAACATGGGATGTGCCTGGCAAGGCACTCAGTTCTTCCTCAGATCTGAGCTTATGCAAGAGAGAATTGTTAAGAATGACACTTCATGTCATCAGTGGCCACTAGCCCCATCTCAGCCCCACCACACAGAATGCTCTGCTAACAATAGCACTGGACCTTCACCATGTGCCTATTCTTGCACCAAGTTCCTATTACATAGCAAACCCATGTGCTAGGAATAATTTTGCCCATTTACAGAGACAAGTGCACATCAACTCATGCCACTTACAAAGT